GATCTTGACCGTGTTCCAGGAGCTCCGTGACCTCTGGTCTCTCCATCTGCCAGCATCTAGCCTGGTTCTTCGCTGAGGCTTTGTGGGAGGAATGCCAACTCCCACTCAATACAAGCATCACTGTTCAGATGCCTTTCCCTGGGCAGAGTGGCCCACACCTGGCAGAGGAGGGGGCTCTGCAGCCTAGCCCAGCTGCAGACAACATGGATGCTGCCTCTACTGTTTCTCAGGGGCTTCACTTCAAAGTGAGGGGAGGCACTCAGAGGAGGGAGCACAATGAATGTGCAAAGACACCTGGGAGGGCATAGGAGGAGACAATAAACTTTCAGACCTTTCTCTGTAGCCCCTTTCTAACTTCCCTGTGAATCCATTTCCTTCAATGGAATGTTTTGAAACAAGAGAGTACAGGGTGACTCCCTATTCCTTGCACAAACTCAGGCCATTATCCCCAGACACAGAAAACGAGTCTACAGGAGGGCCAGAAGGTCCTAGCTTCACCTTATGTAGCCTAGATCACCCCCAAAGATCAGTCACTGTCCCATGCCTCAAGTCTCATCCCTTTTCGGTGTACCAAAGAGATTCCTCAAAAGTGCCAAAGGAGCTAGTTATTGACTAGCTTAATCCCTAAGTGTTCTGGGGTGTGGTCCAAATTCTTTCACACTCTTTGGAGTTCTTCAGGATGAAATTCACTTTTCTCCCATCCACTTCCACTTGAAGATGCTGAGAGTATGGGGGGGGGGGCTTTTCTCTGGGGTGCAGTCACTGTGTGAGGCCCAGGGAATAGGGCTGACTACTCCCAACCATCAAGAGCCCAACAGCCATTGGTGGAATTGAAGACTAGGATGGGCAAGATCTCAGCATGCAGAGTAACAACAAAGGTTCAAAGCAGAAAGACTGGCTTTGTGCTGATCACATGCTGCACACTGATGTGGTTCCCAAGAGACACATCTGTGATCCAGACACATCCTTGTTCCCCTAGAGTCCATACCAAAGTCCAGATCACTGTCCCACAACCAGAAGAGCAGAGGGAAAGCAGTGTGAAGCAGGACTGTGAGGGACTCAGCTGGCCCACAGGCTGAAGGAAAGCAAGACTGGGCAATCCACATAAATCCCGAGCCCCCAGTTTTCTGAGAAATATCAGGCTTGATGCCAGGACCCCCACCTGCATGCAACACTCCTGTGTTCCCACTGGTCAGCTCAGGAGGCCTCTTGGAGCCTCCTGCCTTCAAGTTCTATGGCCTCTGGTCTTAGGAACAGAACGCTGCTGGCCCTTCTCAGAATGGAGGACAGATCTGCCTGTGGCCCTGTCTGGAAGCCAGGTTCTCTGGGAGAAGAGAGAGCTGTGAGTGGAGACAGCTCTTTCAGGATACCATGGACTCTTCCTTTCCTTCGGTGAGAAGGATACACACACATACACACACAGAGACATATACACAGAGACACACACATACAGAATGGCTGTCACTGCAGGACCATTGCCGGTGTCTTGTCTGCCTCAATAGCTCTCCCCTGGGAACGAATCTTGCCATTATCTTAGATCACCCTACTTATTTTATGATACACATCCAGGCTAGATGCTGGCAGATGGAGAGACCAGAGGTCACGGAGCTCCTGGGACCCGGTCAAGATCATGGCTACATGCAGCCATCAGGTTTCTCTTGGCCCACGTCACTGCTCAGTGCAGAGTCTAACACACAGACAAACACAGACACATCCACAGAGACACACACATACACGGACA